TTGACAAGCGCCTGTCTCACACACACACACACACACACACACAAATACACACAAGAAACCGAAAGTGCTTCTAAGAGCACAGTAACATGTTCACAGCAACATGCGGACACGCTTCTATACGTGCACTCTAACCTTTCAACTCTAGGCCTGGGTAATAAACACCGGCAAACGTTTTCCCATGACATTGTGATCCCCCAGATTTACTAAAGAAATGGATGATTTATTAATACATTAGAGTAATTATGAGGTAAAAATCAATCACTAGATATCTGATACACGGTTGAGTGTTATTCCAGAATGCTCTCTCAGGAGACGGTGTAGATTTCAGTAAGTCTGAAATGTAATTAGCCTTTAGCTCGGGGCTATGCTGCGTTCAGCTTGACCTCCTCTCCACAATGGCCGAGCATCACTGATACCGGACTAGTTTTTCAGCCAGACGAATGCATGAATAAATGAATCACAAAGAGAAGAGGAATATTCACAAATGAATGTTTCACTGCAGTGCAAGTTGTACTTTTGTCGCTGGAGTTGAGTGGGATAGTCTTGACTTTCCTTGAGGTAGCGCTTATCCACGATGGTTCATTTTACACCCTGAAAATCCATCCAGTTTTGCACGAATATTAACTCAAGCACGGTTGCTGCTGTAAATGTCTACCTACAAAGACCAGACCGAATTCTCCTGAACGCCTCAAGAGCTTCATTTTGCACTACTGGCCTCTGAAAGAAACGTAACAGTCATGCATGTCTTGGACAGGTTTGAACTCGGATAATCTTGACAACGAGGTGAATCTCTAGGTTACTCCTAGAAATGGCAGGAGCAAACAGAAGTATTATGTCGTTGCTCGTAAGAGCAAGAATGAGTGCAAGGACAAAGTTGCTTCTCAAGGCCTGATGCATCACTTTGCATGACTCAATACGACCCATGTGTCTTTGTCTGATCTAATTGGCTACTAGTCTGGTTGATTTACCACGGTGCACTTTATATAAGTGTATAGGTTTGCTAAGAACAAAAGGTATTGAGCCACTTGAGGCGTGCTTTGCTGCTATCAGATAAAGAGAGACAACTGTCTGTAGGTAGCCTAAGGAAGAAGGATGGTTCAGCTTCTAGCAAGTAGGGCACCACTAACCTTGAGCCAGGATGATACAGTGTATGTGACAAATTGGTTGTTTGTTAACCATCAACTGGCCTAGAAAGCCCTCCTGAAGCCACTAGACAAGATACAACGCAATGCTGATGGGACCAAACTACTGCGCCAGCCACAGGCGTACCCCACTGCTGCGCCAACGTCCTTATTAACCCATTTATCAACACGTCAGCTGGGTTGGTACATGGCTCTTGAAGGGGGCGGCTGCGGTTCAGGAGGTAGAGCAGGTTGTCTATTAATCACGAGGTTGCCTGGTTTGATCCCCAACTAGCGCCTGTGCGCGTGTTGAGGTGTCGTTGGGCAAGACACTGAGCCCCGAGTCGCTCCCGGGGGGCAGCCCACTTGGATGTTAGCCGTATCGTCATCGCTGTGTGAGGTTGGGCGTGGGCAACGTGTATAGAAGCTCTGTGTGAACGCAGTCCATTCACCGCTGTAATTGACAATGATCCTCTGAAGCAAAGCAAACCTGAAACTGGCTTTGTTCGGTCAGCAGGAGAGAATACTGTCAAACAGGGGCTTTTTATGGACAGTCTATTAACTCGCAATGACACGTTTCAAGATACCAACAGTGTGGAGCGGGGGCTCTGAGTTACGCCACTAATGTGTGTTGCACTTAATCATTTTTAATCACTAAATTGGTTTTCAAATCAGGAATTGATTTTCTTGGATTACAGTTTTTGTAACATCCGTTAAATCGTGCAAGGACTGTTGTGACTATCGACAGGCAACATGGATGTTCAGTTCAGTTATTATTTATGGTTATAGTGACTTGTTGTTTGTTTAATTTTTGTTCCTAGGGAAATATACTTGACTGACTTTCACAAATAAGCTTGTAATCATTGTCCATATAAGGAAGAGATTGAGAAAAGCGGTCGAACAAAGGGCTTTCTCCCGTGAGACCGCCACTCTAACTATATTTACGAACTGATATATCTCTATATCTTAAATACTGTAACAAACAAGTCAAACCATTATGTATTCACAAAACACAACCATGTATTTTTGTTGAGTTATGTTTAACAGTTAAAACTTTAATAGTAATCTGGGAGGAAAAGCGTTACCCTCCAAACGTAAGCGGGACTATAGGTTGGTTGTATATGATTGTAATTAAGTGAAATAAAGGGTAGCACATGTGTCCACATCTTTTGAGTTGGACAGGAAAATCTCCAGAGATCCCTCTTTTTTTTCACACGTCCATACTACTGAGCCTACTGGCACTAAACTACTGCTTTGTTTGCATCCAATGCTAGTAAAATAAAGCCCCACGGCAAAAAAACTTGCTCAACTTCTTAAGTCAGCCGTCCCTGTTGTAAATCACATATTCCAGCTGAACAGGACAGAATGGAAACTCTGCTGTATAGAAGGCAGGTGAGTTATGACCGTAGGCCACAAGAGTCCGGTCATGACCAATATCCACGCGATGACTTTCCCCCGACACCACAACCAGTCTGAGATTTTTCTGTATTTCTTTTGCAATGTGTTGCATCAGCCAAACGATGCAAACTGGCCACCAGGAGAACCCGTCCAAAATGGCCGGTCTGGTCCTGTTTGTGATCTCTGCAAAAACAGAGCGGGGGCCAGTAGCCCTTTTCTCCCCCCGCCTGGATGTAAGTTTACTAACTGTGTGTTACAGGTGTTCCTGATGCAAGGACTAAAGCTTCGCTACGGAAGAAAAATAAGACCTAATACAAAGTAGTCTATGGCCAGCCAAGAAATGGTTTAACCAGCATCTCAAATGTCAATTACATTAAAACTTGTATTGAACTGCTGTTTTTTCCTTTTGTACTCTCGTTTCACACAGCAGATTAAACACGAGGCTGCCTGGGAAGCAGCAACTTTACAGTATGCTCAATTGCTTCAGTGGACAAATGAAGACTGCCGGAACCCAAAAAAGAGGACTTGCTTTGGTTAACAAATTAGCACCAGTACAAAGGAGGCTTTGGGCTGCATCGCCATTATTCTGCTAGTTAGCCTCCTCGCTTCCACTTCATTGTCATACTGTCAAGCTGATGCTATGAAATACCCAACAAAAGCTACACGTCTTTTTTTGGCATCTTTTTAAACATCACCGGCAGATACCAGCATGCCCTTTGGGTGAAACCGTGCATTCTGTGTCTTGCTTAAAGAAGTTGTTGATCGAAGCACCATTAACTTAAAAAAAATGAATGTGCAGTCTGCTCTAATATCTGTGCATGCAGCTCGCCCGCCGAATCTCAGCACAAAGCCAAATCGAAACACAGTCAGCCAATCAAAGCAAATGTTCTTAAGAGTTTAATACAACATGTGACCCATACAGCCAGAGAGCCCCCCACCCTGAGCCCTGTTACTACACAGAGGAGCGTTTAGCAGGTAGAGCCACAGATAGATATCCAGAAACATGGACTCAGTAAATAAGTAAATAAGCAACACGTGGGTTTGCAACACCAACCTGAAAAAGGGTTGAAGGGTTTGTGGTGCGTTTACAGTTTTCTTCCCCCGAGTAGCCTGAAAACGAAATACCTGATTCAACATCCCGGACCAGCATTCATCTGGTGTTGCAAAGCCAAATGCCGTCCCCCCCCCCCTCTGCATCGCCAGGTTTACACTTGAGATGTAACGGCCCGGTTTTTCAGAGAAACGTTGTTCTCCTCAGCTGACTCGCAGTCCTTAAGGATGATTTTGGCGTCTGTTTTGTCTTTTTCGCATCCAGGGCAAGAAAACCCACTGATCATCAGATGTAAACTAAATGATACATTATTCATCATATGAACAATCTGGGTTGTGATAAATGATCAAAGGGGCAACCCTTACTTTCCTCACTGCTCCCCTGCTCTTCTGCCAGAGTTTCAGAGCCATTATTACCAACTTCCCAGATTTCTCATAGTGCACCTCTGGGTCCCATCACCCGTGTGTGTGTCTATGAGAATGGATCCATATTGTTTTCTGTATTGTGTAGCCACAGAAGACCTCTAGCATACAGGTGTGTGTCTAGTTGTTGCAGCTGATAAGACATGTGTGTCACAAACCCTCTAAGGAGGGACAAACGGTGGATAACCCCAAGTAATGAGCTTTAATTTAGTGAAAGGCAATAAAAGGGAGTATTTGTTTACAGGCAGCTGCAGCGTTGCTTCCTTAGAATCACGAGGTCAAGTAGCTTTATAGTCGTGACAGGCCCCAACAGCAGCCCCTTTGTTTGCTGTGGGCCTTTCCATGCGCATGGCTTCCATTTCCCTTGGTTCAAAGAGGGTGAGTGTCCTCAACCTAATGTTGGTCTTGGCCCTTTTTCACTTGCGCAGATGCTTCCCACTTTCTCTGGCCTTCATGGCCGAAAGCATGTCAATTACTGGCTACATCCTGCCCCGCGTGAAAGCAGGAGGTTATGTCCGAAATATGAATAATATTGAGGTCTCTGCGGATCGCCAGGAGGCAGAGACCCAGAAATAGCGTCTGTGTCGTTTCAAAGCGGAGCAATTATCCAAAGCCAGGCTGGACGAATCGATTCCTGCAGTCTTTTTTAAATGCTCCCGGCCAATTATACAGGCAGTGCATCCTCCCTTTTAGGCCCATCCTTGATTTAGACACCACCCACTGATGGGACTACACCAGGAGCACTTGCTCTTTTTTTTAAAATGTATTTTGTTTCCTTCTTTCTCTTTCCTTCTCATTTGTTACACCGTCACTCTCATCCCGTCTCCCCCTCTCTCTTGCCTACTCCACCAGTAAGATATTCCAATTATTACTACTGGAGGAGCACCCCCACCCTCCCTACTTCGCATCATACGCCACGTGACCACAACCACTGTCGGAACCAGCTGTTAGTCAGAGAGAGAGAGAGGGGAGAGAGAGGGGAGAGAGAGAGAGAGCGAGGCAGAGACACCAACTCGCTGCGCACGGCGCACAGCCCACAAAGTAGACTTGGAGGACCGCTGCGCTCTGACTGGAGAGCTGCTCGCTTCAGCCGTGGATACTATCGCACAACCGGCGTCGTCTCCTGAGCCGCTGTCCCTGGGATACCCTGGCTCCGTCCTCTCCTTTCACAGTTTTTCGTACCCCCCTCCCCCTCTCCCTCCCTTCCCCTTCTTTTTTTTTTTTTTTGCTTTTCTTTCTCATCTTTCCTCCCCGTCTCCTCATCCTCGAGCATCATCCCCGGTCTCGCAAGTGGTCTTGCCCGCCTGGCTAACTTTCCCACCCCCCCTTCACCCACCCCGCCACTGCCTCCCCCCCATCGCTCACCAACCCCTCGGCAGTTTCACCCCTCGCCCCCCTCCCCAAATCGCCCACCCCAGCGGGTCCTCCTCTTTACCGCTGCAGCCTCCCCCCTCCCTGGATCGGGCGGAACCCGCATTCGTTCGGTCGGACTCGGCACCGGGGCACTGCTACATGGGGCGCGCGGTCTCGCACGGAAGATGGTCCGCGCGCGCTCTCTAGGCGCCCCGCTGAACCTGCCGCGATTGGAGTCGTCGGTGCGAGTGTGCGTCTCTTCCCCAGCTCGCCCGTGCTGTCGGGGACAGTGAGATATGGGTCCCTGCGTGGCGGCGCGGGCACCGCTCGAGGAGCCCCGGCGGCCGCGCCAGCGGGGCGGGACGGCGGGAGGCTGGCTCAGGATCACCCTCGTCTCGTTCCTCGCCACTTTACCTGTGGAGCAGCTGCGCGCCTTCCCGTCGTCCCTCAGCGACTGCCAGACGCCGACCGGCTGGAACTGTTCCGGTGAGAGTCCCCCGTCATCCGAGGCGCAGAAGCGCAGTGCCGCGTGCGGGGAATAGTAGACCAGCACGCGGGGTTATGACAGAGGGGACCGGGTCAAAGTTTACAGGGGAGATGTAGAGTGTGTGCGCGCGTGTGCGTGTGTGTGTCTGTGTGTGTGTGTGTGTGTGTGTGTGTGTGTGTGTGTGCGCGCGCGGGCGCGCGCGTGGGTTCGGTGTCGGTTCTGAGGAGCATGGAGATGATTTCAACACCGCCGGGCCCCGCGATGGGAGGATGCGGAGTTGTTTCCCGGGAGCTCAATGCGCTTTTAGCCGGGGATAGGAGTTTGCTTGGAACATGACAGCGAGGCATTCACAGCTTGGGAAAATACAAATAAAGGTTGTTGGGGGGTTGTTGGGGTACAGGGATTTGAAGCGGTAAAGTAAAAACAGCGGCTGCTCGTTTTATCGGGAAACGGAGCGGAGAGATTGCCACAACAACGATAATATCAACACCGATGGACGTGTGATGCAGATTGTCGCGTTAACTCCATATCGGCTACTTCTGTAACTTAAATGGACACGTTCACAGTTTGAGTCGAATCACTCCTTAAAGAAAAAAACACTCATTTTGTAAGAAAAAGTCACACGGAAAAATGAACCATCGAGCTCAATTGCCTTATTTTCGGGGCAATCGTCCCGTTGAGTGCCACTAAATATAAATGCATTGCTTTTTTTCTTTGATAGGCCACCGAGCTGTGAACTTGTTTTCTCTGGTTTGCCCAAAGCGATGGAATAAAAAAAGGAAGAGCAGAGAAGAAGCGCTGCGCCTCGCCTCCCTTTGTGAATCAGCCCAGTGGGCCGCCATGTATTTCCCCTGTCGCCTGTCCAAGTCTGAGCCCTTAAAATAGCTCCAAGTCGACTCCACACACTCACGGCCAGGAGCAGTATTGATGTACTGGCTCATAACAGCCACACATCAATATGGAGTCACAGCCGTTTGCCGACCCAATACTTGGATGTTGATAAGAAGAGAGGGGAACAATTTCCATGAAAAATAGCACGCGTCCAAATCGTTTTCTCTGTCAGAATGTCTGACGGGATTTAAAGAGGATTTATAAATTTACAGTCAAGTAAATTCCCTGTCAGAAGATAGAGGGACCTCACTTGGATATATCAACGTTTTTTAATGAATTTCATTACAATAATAGGCCGATTTAATATTCAAACACAAACAGAAAAACATTGTTTTCATGGTGATTTGTAATATTTTGAAGACTGCGGTTACCATTTTAAACATCTTTGGTATTTCCCTACTTTAATAATGAAGCTTTGGTGTTTTTGCTAGTGTTTTATCAGTTTACAGGCACAGTGTTATTTCCTCAGAATCATTTTTTAGTGAATGTAAATGTTCCTTAGCAGCAGGTCACCATGGCCTGTGAATTCAAACTTTTCATTCTGGACTGCATGTTTTGTGTGAAACTGGAGGATCATTTTGCGCTGCTGTTGATGGTGGTAATGATTTGCTCCTGATGACTGATAATGCTACACATCCTGTTCAGATGCACACTTGCTGAAGCTCCCTACTTCCTGAAACACTCTCATATGTGTTTCAAGGCTTTTATCCAACACGCCTTGAGGAGGCTTAAGTGCATATATATCCTACTGAGAATAAAGCACACTCCCTTGCACCCAGCATCAATTAGAATTAATAGGACGGAAAAAGTGACACGTGATCCATCGTGAAAAAGATCAACCCTTCCCCTAATGATCATAATAATAATAGAAAAAAACAGGCAGTAATTGCACAGGGCTTCATTATCCACTCCCATCCTGCACGTCATGCACTTTAACAACAGCGCTACGCGTGACGGTGTTCAGCTCCACGGAGAGTAAGGCAGGCTGAAAAAGTGTGCGTGGGGACGAGTTCACGAGTACAAAGACGACAACGGGCAGTAGTGTGACAGAAATGGGAAACGGCTACTGTGCAGGCTGGGCTTAATGTACATACCCCCCCGTCTCACTCTGAGCTCATCAAATGCAGACACTTTGTTCGTGCCCCCCCCACCTCCCCGGGTGTCAACGCGCTTTCAATTTTCACCCCCACGCGTCGCTTTCTTTGTCTTTAATCTGGTGAATAGGCGTGCTGCCAGTCGCGTGACTCTTTTGTCATTTGCAGATGAGTCAAGTTAACGTCAACGGGCTCTATTCCTAAAAACAACTCATTGCTTTTGGTTGCCTCAACCTCCCTTCCTGTGTCAGTTTATTTTAAAAAGAAACGAAGCATCGTTAATAGTGTAGACTGACACAGCGTCCAAAACTGACGCTCGAGAGCTAGTTGGCAGGTTGGGAGAATATGTCGGCGACATATAACGTTGGACCTGTTGCAGCAAAGCAGGTGTGTGCATGGGAAGCTGCAACACAAGTGTCAAAATTAGATTTATAAAGGGTTTAATGGATTACATTTTGTGATTGTAAGTGAGTGACGTATTAGAAAAAATGATTAGAGGGAAAAATGTTGATTTCAGAATTTCCGGTGTCTTTAATTGACCAAAAATAGTGGGAGATCTTTCCACTGAAGACATGTTAAACACATGTCAAGTTTAAATAATCCATTTCACGAGCGCTGAATTCCATTTAGCTGCTTCGGTTTCAGGTGTTGTGCATGCTGGCTCATTGTCACACTGTCATTTACTAGCCGGGTTACTCAGTAACCAGAAGATCCATGACACTTTTTTTACTGCCACCAGCTTGAAAAGGGCAGATTTTCTCTTGGAAGGTACGTTGTGTAAATGCTTTGTAGAAAGGGAAGGTTTTAAAGTGGAACATTCATACCTGCTGCATCATAAAATAAGTAATATAGGCTACGTTTTCCAATGAAAACCTTGAATCATAAACATATTGTGGCTTTGATTCCAACATATTGTTTCTGTTGCTCAGGAGGTGGAGAGGCTTGTTCGTAAATCACAAAGCTTGGCCGTTCAATTCCTTCACACGTCAATGTGCGCTTGAGCAAAGACACTAAATCCTGACGTGCTATTTCGTGCATATCTCACAACAAGCCAATCCTCACACGTTTGTGCATTCTCTCAAGCGTTTGTGTTTCCGAGGGTCAAGTGGCGTGAGATGCGACATCACAGTTCGACTGGCTTCACAAGTAGCCAGTTTATAAGCACATTTGAATCCAATACAGATCTGAATCATTAGCAGACAGTCGCCGGTGGGTCCAGATTGCATTTTGGCAGGTTGCTTTTTTTGCGAAGTCTGCTCAGAAGTGATTGGTCACTACTACCTGGTCTACTAACGTGAACTACAGATGCATCATTGAAATTATATGCGTCTTCACAGGGGACGAATTAGTAAGGTTGAGGCAACAAATGTACTTATGTCACTCAAGTCCGGCAGTTACGGGACAAATTATTCAATGTCGACATCTGGTCTCCTATGGACAACAAACAGCGTCTTTTTGGGCAGACTCTTCCACAGCCATTCGTACTTCCTGGTTAACTATGGATTACTACAAGTTGATTTTGTGGGACGTATACGCATTGTGTCTGCTTGCAATGGCAGCACTACCGATGTTTAGATTAGATTAGACCTACATTATATTATGTATGTTTTCGCTGCTCAGAGCCAACATACCAAAGCTGTTCTCTGTAGATATAAGTTTGTCTTTTTCTCTGTTTTAGTGTCGACCCAGGGCAAATTGTAACATCGGTCCTGTTAGCTGCTGAATGTACAGGATAGTGTGTCGTTGGGTTTATCGAAGCCTTTGCTTCTGTACACTGAGAGTGAGAGTGGTGACACTGAACCATTAACAGTAAAGTTGCGAGCCGTAGAAGCAAAACAAAAATAGAGTTACTGTATATTTCAAGCCGTCACACATTTTCGATGCCGTGATGGAGGTCTTGTTTCCATGGTATTCTACCTGGTGCTAAAATAATTGAGGGTGGCGGTCGCTCGGTCCGACGGGGCTGTGGGACTGAAGGGTTTGCCTCTTCCAGTCCCTCCACAGACCAAGTACAGCGTGTCTACTGGTGGCTGAAGGGGACCCAGTTTGCCCACTGGTCACAGATGGGGGGACCTTCTAAAGCCTCCACCGGGCCCATTGCTCCGGTGTTAAATGCAGCTGTCTACCAGTTTCTATGAACGCAAATGTAGATAAAAGCCAATTATTTTTATACAAGTTGGACCGTTTATGACATCCATCCAGCACAGTTGACGGTGTATTCAACATTTTGTGTAATTATCACAGTCAACCCATGGGTGGCAGTTTGCCTGTCATTTCTGGCTTGTACCGCTTCAGATAAATGAGCTAAGGCTGTGTTATCTTTAATAGGTGCACTGGCAGACTTTGGCCGAAAATATGCTCGTGTCTTTTTTTTCCCGCTATTTTGTTCATCCAAATCCAAAACAAGTTAAGGCGAAAAATATTGCTGAATTCCCCCCAAAGTACCAGTTTCCCTCTGTCCAATTCATTTTCATTTGATATTATTATGCCAATAGGAGTAGCTGCTCAAGTTGCGGAGAACGTCATAACTGGGGCCACAATCCCTTCCTCACTGAGCCCTCCTGCTATTGTTCACTCTGCAAAGGCCATGTAATGTTCTGACAGTTGGAGTAACGGGGGCGACTGCAGAATATGCAAAGCCCCCTGTAAATCCCATCAAGTGGAGAGAATTACCAGTAGTCTGCGGAGAATCGGCCATCTGCTTTCAAGTTTTGTCAACACGGAGGTCATAAGGGCCTTCATTGCGTGTAGGTCCACACCTCTGAGAGGAAACAGCAGCAGGAAGCGGTGTAATCGAATAGCACGCAACAGTGAATGGGAGGTCTAATCAAAGTTCACCAAGTAGGACCTCGCGGCTTTGAGGGGATTGTTTAGCCAAATGTGCTCCATTTTCCGACTGTAATTAAAGCAGCCTTTCTGGTTAGGATTTGGGGCTGAACCATAAATCACTCTGGGAAAACATTGAAAAAACCTGTTGCTAAGTTTTCAAAAAAAAAAAGGTCCCCTACACTAGAGAGGTCAGAAAAGGATGTCTCACCACTGTGGTTGTTCAGCCTTCATTATTAATTTAGTCTATTGAATTATTAATCAGGACAATGCTTAAAACGGGAGAAGGACTCGTCGTTCTTCTTAGTGTTGCGAAATTCCAGGTAGGAGGAGATGCATTTGGCTGACAAGCTCTCTGTACAAGACGAGTAAGTGCTTGGCTTGCCATCTAAATCGTTAGCATATAAACATTACCGTTTCAATATTTGATGTTTGGCAGCTTGTTTCCGTTAATTATTCAGCTCACTGTAATCTCCTCCTGGGCGGGAGCAAGAAGTGTACGTTTTCCAGGCCTTTGACATGTTCAACTTGGGCCGCCCACAGGACCAGCGCCCATTTATCGCTCCGAAGACGTGAGACGCTATTAGAGATACACATTTTGTTTTGGATACTGTTTTTTTTGGAAAGTGTGTTTCTTCAGGCTGCTCAAATTCCATCCTGTCAGAACATGGAGTCAACAATCTTCGTAACAGAAAATAAAGGGGGCCAGCTTTTGCCCAGGGCCACATCTGAGACTGAAGAAAGAGACCCCCCCCCCCCTGCTCATAGTCGCTCTCTCTTTCTTAATATGCTCATATTAGTCCTTTGTGGTACACACCATCAAGGGGGTTCGGAGTCTTGTATGGATGAGACACATCTTACTGTAGCACGTTAAATCAATAAGGAGAGCAAACACAACACTTTTACGCACTTCACATTATTTCTTCTAAGCTTTTCCTGCTCACGGCCCCATGAAAGACTTATTGTCAGGTCGGTTGCTTACCCTTAGCATAGTTGTTAAAAAGCTTATTTTTGCCGCATTTCATTGTGTACATACGTAGTCTGCACACCACATTACTTACATGAGTGAACGCAGGCCGCCAACCAAACAATCCCAATCTGGCAACACTGACCAAAAAGTTGCTCCTTAAGCCAATTATTTTGAATCAGCGTTTAGCACACACCAATTATGACAGTGTGCAGCTTTCAGCTTTCATTTTAAACGATTGAATAAATATTCATTGACTTGTCAAGACCTCTTTGATATTCAGAACTTCAAAGACTCTTTACCATCAGACAGACTTAGCCGCGAGATTCTGACAGTTTCTTGTCTGTGGGCGATTATTGTTCTGCAAACTGGAAAAGCTCATCTTTTGAAGATTGTTCTTATAATAAGGATGTTGTTTAGTCGTTAGTTAAAAGTTCAAGAGCTCTCAGCCCCAGCGGTGGAAGGAGAGTGAACATTTACTGTCACTCTTTTGATTTTGCTACCAGACATGCAATCTTCAGTTGTCGGAACTGAACTTCACCTCCAAAATGCATCTCAAGGAGTCAGAACAATAACAGCAGCGTTTCTTCCCCCCCCCAGCACGTGCATGGATGTGTCCCTGTCCGCGTCACATGCTCAACAAAGGAAATGTTTGTGTTGGACAAACCCAGCGGCTTTGGTAGTAAATGTGGACATTTGAAAAGGAGCTTTAAAAAATACGACTCACCCCCCCACAACAATCTCAGTCACAGCCCTGTTTTGAGCGTATGACACATGTTCGTGTTTTGATGCCATGACGAAATTGCTTCGATTGCTATGATTATGTTTTCCAAACGTGTGCACTAAAAACAGCTGCCGACGGAGCGAATCTGATACGGGATTGTCGCAGCGGCTAAATTAGTTTCATGGGTAAAATCTCCAGGATGATGAAAACTAACTTGCATGTCGGGTTGATTGTACGTCATTTATTACTCTGACAGTAAACACATTTTTTAAGAATATCGCATTCCCTAAGCCCTTAACTGACAAGTGTGAGATATTGCCTCTTAGGTTATATCATTACTGTAAATCTATATTCTTACTCGCTTTGAGGCAATCGGTGTCATACAACTAATGGAGATTTGTGCTGACTTTTCTTTGAAGCCAAAGCCCTGCTGGCCCTGACGTTTGTGAGTGGTGATAATCTGGGACATTTATTCTATTATGTTTTGTGCTTGTTTCATTCAGAGGCTTGACATCCATGACAAAAGCTGGTTACTTGCATCCTTGTAAACAGTTCCGTTTTTTCTCTAATTCTAGTGTAGATACTTTATTTTATTTATAAGTCTCAATGGCCCTGTTGCTCATGCAGATGACTCCAATATGAATCCCTCCATGTTGTTAACAAATGATCCACATGTTTTTTCTGCTTAGTAGCTCCTTCCGACTTTAGAGTTTAATGTCATGAAGCCACATTCTCTCTCTTTCCTTTCATTGCGCATTTTCTACAGCTTGCTTTCCAGTGAACCCTGAAAAACAAAAGCTAAAATATCCAATTAGTTATTAGATTAGATTAGTTATTTCACACACACCAACACATTTTCCGTTTTACAAAGAGTCTGCCAGTTTGTGTGAAAATCTATGTTATATTTACCAGTCTTGTATATACACCTGGCCAGTAGAATTGTGGTAACAATGCCTCTCCGGTGAGTGTCCCCATGCCAGTTTCACTTTGTCCCAATATCATTTTTTTGTTGCTTTCCAGATTGCCTCGTACAATATGGCCCATTTCCGTGTAAGGGCTTTGTTCCATCCATGCACTCCAAGCGTCGAGACCTCTCGTGTCTCTGTTCTTGGCTCAATGATTGTATATTTGCACAGAGAGCTTGCACTTGATGGTCATTCAGGAACCTGGCAAATAGCAGGTTCCCTTTAACACTGGGCCTCTCTTCCATGGGGTATTATTGCCTGAGGTTGTTCCATGCCAAGCAGGGCTTTTACCCTAGCTGAGTATAAGTGTCCACTATAATAAGACTACTGTCTTTAAAGAGAACATGAAACCAGTGGCTCTTAAAGTCAATGGTAAACACACCAAAGCTGAGCACATTGAGAACTGTCAGGGTTAATTAAACCGGCCCACCTTCCACATGTTTTTTTAAAGTACAATTTGAGTTAAATTAAACTTTTTACCTCAACATTTTCCATTTGTACTGGAACTGTAAACGATTCTCCATAAGGCTACAAAGCATGAACTGAGACCAATAACGTGACAGGCAGCACACAGATCCTCGTTTACACAAACAATAGGTATCTTTTTACATCCGCTGCTCCACGTTCCAAATATACTACGATGTGTATCCTCCATAAGGCTTCCTTGAAATGCGAGCAGCAGAAAGTATGATTCATAAATGCTGTGGATAACAAGGCTGTTAAAGCGATTCCACAGTCCAGAAGTCACAGTGGGGAGGTGACCTTGGTTCGAGAATGCTGACTTTGTGTCGCGCATGTTCAAGAAGAACAAGTGAATCTGTTGAAACGACATGTAGCTATAGGTTTCCTTGCCCACTACGTGCACTTAATCCAAGGTAACAACTAGCATAACCAATAGACTTTCAAGGCTAATATTGGTTTGTGAAAATTACACAGCTAATATTCCTGTCATCAACAGAATCAAAGAGTTTTAGCAAAGATGCTTAAAATGCGACCGTAGTGTTTGTATCTAAGATGAGGCTTGACGTTACAGGAAATTAAATACTTCTAAATGCTACGCAAAAACATAGAAATCCATTATATTAATTGCAGCAGGAGAAAACATGAGGATTAACTGCAAACAGCAGAGGCGATCGTTCATCAACATACTGTGATTTTGTTTTGCATATCTGTGATGAGACCGGTGTATCAGGCTCTCGTGTCTCGTAAAGCTGATGAAGCAGATTTTAGATGCATAATTATGACTTGTACACTAAGCTCTCCAAATATATAAGCTGCATAAACAAACTGAGTAAAGAAAAAGTATTTTTTGACTACACCGCATTCCAAAACATGACCCATTAAAGTTATCATATGGCTATTAGTAATTCATAGTCAAAATAAGTAGTATGAGTATGTTTTTTTTTCACTAAGTTACTCTTCTCCCTCTTAACAACTGAAGCGACAGGGTTTGATGAAAAATAAGACTAAAGAATTCTTTTACTCCTCATGAAGTAGGACGACCGCGGCCTGTGCAAATCTTCTCAGTACCATTTCCTGCTGAGGTTAACTTTCACATAACAGTATTTAAAAACCGGGTAAACCTTAAATTCTTATACTTTTAAATAAATTGAAATTGTATCCACGTGGATATACTGTATGAATGCTATGACACAAAGCTATAACGCTCATATGTTCTGCTCTGTGTACTTTGAAATGGAAAATTCTGCATCTACGTAAAAGTTTTTTTTTTTTGTTTTTTTTGTTCAGTTCAGGAAGACCGACAGCCCCGAGCTCCGTCTCGTCTCGTGCCCATGTGACTCTCTGATTCGATTGAGGATGCTTTGTTAACGCAGCCTGAATCGGATCATATCCCAGGTTTGCATCTCCAGGACAACGAGTCGCTGCACACAAACAAATGTCACACAACAACAACCCCAGCGAATGAGCAGGGAAGCACGGCCGAGGCAGATGCTCCCACAGCTGGGAGTCACATGCCACGGCCTCCACCTGCCGCCCTCATGGGACACCTTCGGGGGCGGAATGTGGAACGGCGCGTTTGGTGGCCAACGATAAGAACGTGTTGCAGAATTGTCTTTTCAGAAGTGCACAGAATGTGATCACAGAGTGCTCTGCGCTGTGGGAACCGCTTTGCGCCGAGGGTTGGAGTCGCTTTGAAGGCTGCGCAGAGGAGACACTTACTCACCGATGTCTCTCGTTGGCTTTGTCCTCCAGGTTTTGACGACCGAGACACAGACCTGTTCTTGTGCGACACCAACACGTGCAAGTTTGACGGGGAATGTCTACGGATTGGGAACATGGTGACGTGCATTTGCGACTTCAAGGTAAGACCCCGTGGTTAAGTGTTTCTCCTTTTCCCTTTGATTTGTATGTGGTGTCAGTTTAGTTTCCATTTAGCCCTTCTCTGAAACAGACATAGTCCAATCGTAGCTTAGCAACTAGTTACGGCCGGCCGGTGAACCCTCGGATTTCACTACATGTTGAAGCAGTAATGCGTGGAGCTGTAGTGACAACAATACTCTGCATTTAGTTGACACAAAAGCAGCAGCAGATATGTATTGAATGGATTAAACAGGGTTTTATATCCTCCAGCATGAGATGTAATTACTATTAGTATTATTTGTCCACTGTCTGGAACCTTCTCCCTTGATGCCCTCAGTGAAGTATTGTTTATTTGGAGGGAGTTCACTAAAATGATTTGTTTGATTTGTCCGACCTGCCGGTAAGTCTTCATTTAACTAGAAATTGCCTTTGCAATGTTGTATGTGAAAACACATGGACTTGAGGATATGAGATAAATAAACATTGAGAATTTTAACTGCGCGGCGATCAGTCACGGGGGGGGGGGGCTGCTGAGTGTTTGGGTGGATGGATGCAGTGTTCAGTCAAACCGTATCTTTGTTAAGAAATTCATTTGAAGTCTAAAAAGAATCGCCGACAGAGAAGAGGCGTGAAAGACACGGCGCTTCGATAAGCTCGTCCCACACATCTAAATCGTTTGTCTAATTCAAACTATTCGGATGCGCAGGGCTCACATGGTGTGATTCATGGAACATCAAAGTGCTCGACAAAACTTTTTTATAACTTTATAATAAAACAACTGTAAGTGGGAATATATGTGGAGTTGAAATGTGATGTATTATTAAAGTGACTCAATGGTTAACAGAGTTAACTATATAATCAACTGGATCGAAGTCCATTGTCCTGATTGGACGACATTAGCCCCCCGAGGCGGTGGTTTATGGCTCCCCGTGAAACCCCCCCCCCCGGTCACTTGACTGGACCAGCGCTCGGTCTCCGCCTTCATAAACAAGACTGCCGCTCTTCAGACGAACGACGGAAAGGCCCTCGTAAATGGCTCAAATCTAGAGACGTATGCCCCCCTTGATAATGACTCATACTTAACTTTACGACCAGACGTATAATAAAAAAGGAGCAAACCAGTCAGCAGAGTATCGATTCTGCCGACTTGTATGCCACGCAGGGCCCCGGATGAATGGAGCCGCTGAGATGCGAAGACGCGCCGCATGTCCTCATCCGTCGCCTTAATCGGCGCGTCGTCAGCGCAGCCCGGCACCGGATTGGTCGACGGCTTTTATCTCAATTTTGTACTTCCCCGAGAGCAAACGTCAACAGAGGCCTGTAGATAAATTACATTACAGCTCCATTCCTCTTGAGCAGATCTCACGCTGATACCGCGCTCGCTGTGCACCGAGGCGCCCCCCCCCCCCTATCGCCGGCAGAGAGAGGCAGGTCGCGTCCCAACACCCCTTTAATACCGCGGGTCTTAGGTCGGCCGATCTGCGCATCTCCTGTTTGTCGTGTGGACGGTGCATCAGTCAACGTAAACATGACCTTCCTCGCCTAGCAACTGTCGCCGTGCCCTTAAATAATCCGTCGTTTTATATCCGTGTCAAATCAGCAGGTCCAAGGTTTCCTTCCTGCTGCCAGTTCCTTCAGAGGAGACACAGACCTTGTATGGATTCTCATCCTAGATGGATCTTTCTTTTGTTCAAGCAGAAGCTTTGGCGTGTGCACACTCACGCACACCCAAAAGTTACAAAAACGAGAAGACATGGGGCTCTGTGAAGAGGAAGTGAGTTTGATGTGGTGGAATCAATGTACACTCATTCATTGCCAAGATGCATTGGATCCGTCTCACTGCGGCTCCGACTTGACCTCTCCAGTCAAACCGCTACAACAACGTGCTCTCGCTCAGCGGGCAGCGAGCACGCCTTTTCTCTCTGCTCGGTAACACCTCACCCTGACTAATGGCATAACACCTTGTTGTCATTGATCTCCCAGTAGCTGCTGGCTAGAACTATTGTTGCCAGTTTGGTTCCGTTAAGGTCGGGTCACCGTGCCCATTCGCTGAAACGCCGACCGCTCTAAAAGCGAGCGTGCTCACGCCGCTGTGAAAACGGTCCAATGGCAACTTCATTGTCTTCTGTAAAGGTGCCCAATAATATATTCTTCACCAGAATTGTTTCTCGTGAAATAAAGGTGCAGCGGGATCTTTTGTACGGTTTTCAGTACAAAAGACTTGCGTGTTATCAATAAATCCACTTCAAACCAGGAATTGCCAACTGACTTCTTTTCCAAGACAACAAAAGGCACATTTTCCGAGTCCGCTGCCAGGTCCAAAGTATCCAATAAAGTGTGTGCAAACGTGTGTCTTTTGAAGGTTCAGTTGGCAGGGTAATTGTAATTTTGTGTTTTGGAGTCAGATATTAACTGACTGAGGTAAGCAAACATCTGTTGCTTGTCAATACTAAAACAGTTAATTCAAGCTACGGATGACGGGCTAAAGAAACCCAGAATTTGTCAAAATTCCAATTCATTGTGGATTAAACCATTGTCTGAATATGTAAGTGAACTAATACGACTGCGGGAAGTAAATGAAAAATGCCGGTCGGAAAATTCATTAAAATGATTTGCCTGATTACTGGCAGTAGATACAACCAGAGCATCCAACAAGATGTGTGCCAGGACATCTTCTGAATGTTCAATTGGCAGAAAGGCGTCTTGATGTAGATAAGGTTTTTGGAAAGGCGCTGAAGGCCGGGGGGGGTTGGACAACCCTGTATGTACTTCAGGGACAGGGGTGCTACACTGCAGCGGATTGCGGGTGGAATATGTCTAAACGCGCCCACGTGGTTTGAGTAGACTGCGCATTACAGATGAATGGGAGGCAGATGTGAACACGGCAGATGTAAGTCATGTGACGGGTCGTTTGCGTCGGGATTACTTGCAGCTCATTGCTGCTGAGCACCTCGAGAAAAGTACTCGCCAGTCCTCCAGGCAGAACGCATTCAGTACATTGTGTCAATATTTCCTAGAAGGTTCAGGCAGTCTTTGCAAATGATTTTTTCTACGGTTGGCAGCGGTAACCTCACCCCACCTTCACGGCTCGGTTACCCAGCGCCGTCCGTGGCTGGAGGGCTCGTAGAGAGGAAGCTTTCTGACATGCAGCTCGTTAGTGGAGATTTCTCTCGGAACAGTTTAGTTCATAACAACAAGCTAAAGGATGGTATTGAAAGTTAATGTAAGATTTGCAGAGTGCGGTTATTGACTGGTCGGTGATAGACGTGTGAGATATAATGCATCGATGCAGTAGCACGTTTCTGGATGTAGTCCCTGAAATGGCCATTACAAATACATAAAAGCTTCAGTAAACTCCATTATTCCACCCGCAAAAAATTGATCTCTGCTTTGACTGCAGACTTCATTCAAAATGAAACAAAATATGTAGCAAAATGTGAGGGTGCAGGAGAGAGTTTAAACGGCTGTTCAATTTAAATGAGAAGTCAATAAAATCCACATAGCTCTGGCAAATGTATGCCTTTACCTGCAGGCCGTTTTTTAAAACACAACAACTCTAAAGATCTCATTTAACGAAGCTTCTAATGGTCTCTGAAAACATCAGCGACGTTATCGACGCCGACGTCTTATCGGCACTTTGAACACAGATGAAAAGTGAGAACATTCCTTAGTTCGGCCCGAATCAATCAATCAATTTTGCATTTGAGACCCAGCAAAAAGATATCACCACGGGCAGCTCAGTCAGATACTTCCCAACAACGACGAGGACCAGTGGAAACCTACTGACTGGCTACGCTGGTTTCTTTTATCCAAGTCACTTGTTGTTGTGTTTTTTACGTGGTTGCTTCATCTGGAGGATATGTTGTTGTACATTAACACAAAGAGATGCAGTATGCAGTTGGCAGCAGGTCCACCAGAGTAAATAGAGAAGTGGTTGTTCCAGATATAAACAATCCTGACCAATACATTGTGTATCATTGTCGGGTTTCTTTTGTATCAAAATTATCCTAAAGATCGTTATCCGTGTCATTAAAAATCCAGCATTTATTGGGCTGTGCTGGACCCAAGAAGTAATAGTTGCTGCAGAAATAACTAAATAAAGTAAAGTCTGCAGGAGCGACATGCGGTACCATCGTGTCTACACAAACTTAAAAGTATGATTCACACCCCGCCCTATCCGCTAACATCCAAACGTGCATTCAGGCGGCGTAAAGCACGGTTATTGACCTGAAATAAAAGAAGGATAATGTTGGCAGCACATTTGTTCTTCAATAGGCTCCCTGCTGCGTGTTTGATGTTGCTGCTATTTGCTGTAATGTCCGACCCCAAATTGCTCTCCCGCCTGCTGCCTGATGCTGGGTGGGGGGGGGTGATGGCCGCGGCCCTCAAAGCCTGCAGCACTTCACAAAGGGATGAGCGCTTAGTGTGGGTTCATATGTTGCTGATGCTGGGGGGGGGGGGTTGGAAAGGCACCGTGTCCTTTCCATCGCACTAAACATGGGACTGTGAAAAAGCATCTGGACACACCTCACAAAATACACACACAAGTGCACTGACCCCCCCCCCCCCCCACACCTCCCCCTCTATTACTCTCCACACAAGCATCTCCTATTGGATAATAAGAGAGTGAAATAATGAAATGCGGAGCGTTTCACATATTCACAGGCCCAGGTGGTACTGACACCCGCTTCTGATGCAGACCCCATTCCATATATTTGCATTTATTTACCCTCCTTTCGCCCACAGCCATGTGAACGGACTGAGACTGGGACTCTGAGTAATGGTGAGTTTATTCCCGAAGCAGCCGCCCCCCCCACAAAGACAATGACGGCCGTACACCTGTGACAAAGGAGACGGAACGGGAAATGTCGGCCTCATCTCCGACTTTCCATGAAAGCGAATGCGCTTTTGTTTTCATAGTGCACAAAATCAGGTAGTGAGAGGGAACGACATGGCAGAAATAAGGAGACTGGAGCAAATAAGCAACAAGGCCATTTTTGTT